GGAAAGCCAGTGCATTTTATATTATGGCTTTTATATTATGTTGCATAGAAACAAAAGTATAACCTAATATTGATGTCAGTCTATGTACTGAAAGTATAAAATTGTATGTATAGACAACAAAACTGGAAAAATGTTTGTTTGTTTCTTAATTTATGGTCTTCGTTGGTCGTGCTTGATTTCGCAGAATTTATTTATTTCAGTTAGCTATGAAATGTGAGGTTAGGGTATAATATGGGGTGGGGTGGTAGTACATGCCCCGTCATTCTTGACGAGCTATATGCTAATATTTACATAAAAACACAAATAATTTACAAACATTTTGACGACATAAAGTCTTAGAAAGTGTTTTTTTCATCACGCTTCACCTTTATTTTCTCTCTGTAATCACAGTTACAGTCATTGATACTCTTGAAAAATGGAATATTTCCATTGGAAATATTTCCCTAGAAGCAAGTAGGCAAGTTAAAAGATGGTTGAGCCAGTTTACATTTGTTATATATATCTATATTTCGAAGTAAACCACTTAATGTATGAGAGACAAATCCCCTTAAGCACATTCCATGATTATTTCAGAGAGCAGTCTTAAAAACCTGCTTCCTAATTATTCAACGCTATACTAACAACATGAACTATTTTCTAGTAAATATTAACTCTTCAAAATATATTGTGTGTTGTTCTGTCTATGTTTAGCTACCGAAGAAGTGAGCTGTATGTTGTTTTCTTCATTATTAGTTGTTAAGGTGGCGAGCTGTTTGTTACGTTGTCTTTGTTTAGTTGCTCAAGCAATGAATTTTGTGTTGCTCTGTCTATATTTAGCTGCAGAGAAAGTGAGCTGTGTGTTGCTCTGTTTATGATAAGTTGTTAAGGAAATGAGCTATGTATTGTTCTGTCTATCTTTAACTGTTGAGGAAATGAGCTGTGTGTTATTCTAACTATAATAAGTTGTTAAGGACATGGCATGTGTGTTGTGTTGTCTATGTTTAGCTGCTATGGAAGTGAGCCGTTTGTTATGCTACCTGTGTTTAGTTTGTGTTGTTCTGTCTATGTTTAGCTGCTATGGAAGTGAGCCGTTTGTTATGCTACCTGTGTTTAGTTTGTGTTGTTCTGTCTATGTTTAGCTGCTATGGAAGTGAGCCGTTTGTTATGCTACCTGTGTTTAGTTTGTGTTGTTTTGTCTATGT